TATATATATATATATATATATATATATATATATATATATATATATTTATATATATATATATATATATATATATATATCACCGATGCTGCAGCATAATTGAGCAGTGATAAATGTTTGCAGTGAAGTGCAGCATTATGTAGTTATAGTGTAAATGAACTGGAGTGTCTTGGGTTATCTTGGGTTAGGGTACAGCGGCCTGCAGTGCTGTCTGTCAGAGTAAAGGGGTGGGAGGGTCCATGGTTTAAAGACTTCATAGACTTTATGCACTGAGATTAACATGCTTGGTTTTTATCTACTTGTTGTTTTGTTGTTAAAAATTGACTAATAAAGTCCAACAAATGTGTGTTTTTAATTATATTTGTCCATCATTTTTGGCTACAACGTAGTTTAAGCACTATCAGAACCCAGAACTGAACACAGACCAGGAGACAAGAGTAAAAAAATGTAAGTGAGTTAATTTACATGTTTCTGGAAAGGCAAAGAACCAGGAGATGTGCAAAGAACAACCACAGATATATACATGTAGCACAATCACATGGCTGATGAGACATAAAAAACAAAGCTTTGGATTTACTGAACACTGCTAATAAACTATGAAACTTCTTACGGTACATTTGATAAATCTAGTTGTTCTTGTGTTTCGGAAGGAGGAATCGGTTGAGCAGAGCACAAACATTTTGTCAGACAAAAATCACTCTAATTGCAAACTATTTTCTCTGTTCAATTAATCACAGGATTTTATTGCTTTTAACCAATGTTAACCCAGAATCAGAGGTGAGGAGGAAGAAAATATCAGAAATGCTCCTCCCTCGTTATGATCACCCGACATGACCAAATGGATCTTGGCAATCTTGTGAGTTATGGCAGGCAATAATTGTCCAGACAGAGCAGAAATGTTCACCAGTTGAGGCAGTGGAGTTGTAGGACTCATCATTTGTTTGACTAAAGTCTCATGGATGAGGCTTTGGTCTGCACCAGAGTCAACTAAAGTTTGAATAGAGAAATTAATATTTTTAAAACAGATTGTGGTATGAAGCAAAAAGTGAGGGCCTGGAAAAAAAAAAAAGCATATCCCCAGACTCATTGATGGGCTTGTCCTTTTGATAATAACAGGCAGGAAAACATAAGTGACCATACTTGCCACAATACAAACATCCACTGGCTTTAATATGCTGTTGACATTCCTTAGGCATCAAGCAAACTTGTAACTAAATGGGTTCTGGGTCCAGTAGATCTATGGGTATTGGATGTCTGAGCAGAGGGGCGAGTCGTCTGGAAACGTTGAAAGTAAGAGGCTCATGGAACTTATAGTTTTGTTCTTGAAGTCTTTCTTTCTGGTGATTCTCAATCTGAATGGCCCACTCAATGGCTTCATTGAGATCTTTGGAGTCTTCTCAGGAGGCTTGTTGGTCCTTAACAGAGTTAAAGAGGAAATTAATAAACAATGTCTTGAGCACCAAACAATTCACTCTGGCTTCCTCCACAACAATGGAGATGTGATTGGAATGATTCACCACTGAATATGTACCTTGACAACGAGTAAGTAACAAGTTGGCAGCATCTTCCTCATGGAGAGTGTGGTCAAAGTCCCATCTCTGTTGAGCCATGTGTCCCTACAGCTATAAACAGTGGTAACTTCATGAGATTCTATATAAATAAAATTATTTCAATCAGGGATAAAATTCAAACCATCCTTCCTACTGTTGCCCGTGATTCACTATCAGATGAGGCAAGTTTAGAAATGCCACTAAAACCTGAATTATGTTTGATTTATTTTTGTCCTGTTGAGATCTCTTAATTGTCAAAAATAATAGCGCCATACAATCCATCAACATGCCTGCTAGATTGTTGTTTAAATCATATCTATTTGATATATTCCAGTTTGTAAATGTAAAAAATGGAATATTCTTCATAAACCAAAGTTAGTCATGAAGTTCCTCAGGGTTCAGTGCTTGGACCAAGTGCTTGTGCTCCACTTAGAGGGCTATGGTAGATTAGTTGTGTCAGGAAGGGCATCCGGTGTAAAAAACAATTTTCAGATCTGTGTGCATCTTAGTTTCTTGTGATGACTCTGATGAAGAGAGCAACCAAAAAAAAAAAAAAAAAAAAAAAAAAGGTGACAGAACATAGTTTTTGACTTTGAACATAGTTTTTGACTTTTATTGTCTAATTCATTAATGTTACACATTTACACATTCTGGCATCTTAATGTCAACTTGTGCCTTACTAATGTGGCAGAAACTTTGATAATATTAATAACATATGCCTTCATAGAGTTTACATTCATTGCTCTTTTTTGCTAATGCCAAATTTTATTTTTCTCAAACAGCTTTAGCTGTGGCTAGTAACTGAACATCAATGCTACTCGTTATCTGAACTCATGTAGTATACTGTTTACCCACAGTCCTAAACTTGCTTTTACTTATCAAGGTGAGAACCTGTTTGTTTATTTATTTATTTAAAATTTAAACAGGTAAATATAAAAATAAAAAAAATCTGGCCTGGCTCAGCATCATTGCTGTTTTACAGCAGGTTCCTGTTCTGCAGAACATAAAATACCACACAGATATCCAGCATCACATCACAAATAGACACACAGATGTTCCACATTACAAAATACAAGAATAGCAGCATTTACATGGCGGACACCTAACAATGATTGCAAAGAAGATGTGAAACAGATGACATGCATGAGTCTTCTTAAAAAGTGCCAATGTTGAGATGGACCTTCTACATTGTGGAATGCCATTCCATGCTTTAGTATAAACATAGAGAAATTATCTCACGGTAATTTTAATTTAATTCAATTAATTTTATTTATATAATGCCCATTCACAGCAAAGTTGTCTCAGGGCACTTTACAGAAACATTCACGTGCATAGAAAAGTTTATTAGTAAAGTTTTCTTTCTAAGGAAACCAGCAGACTCGTTGAATCTTCACTTTGTCATAATCTCCAAGCATGAGCAAGAACAATGGCAACAGTGGAAAGGAAAATCTCTCTTTTAACAGGAAAAATCCTCCAGCAGAACCAGGCTCAGGACAAGCAGCCATCTGCTTTGACCAGTTGGGTTTGAGAGGAACAGGAAGGAGAGACAAACAAACACAGAATGGCAGGTCCAGATTTAGGTCCAAGTGTACCTGAAAGACAAAAGCACGTCAAGGATATAAAAAAATAATTACAAATACAAAACAGGTTGAGCAGAGTAAGTAAAGACAGTAGCAGAGTGAAGAAATGTGGTCAGTTTGTCATCCAGCAGTCTAAGCCTATAGCAACATAACTAAGGGATAGCTCAGGAAACCCAAGCCAACCATAACTATCTGATTTATCAAAAAGGAAAATCTTAAGTCCAGTCTTAAAACTGGACAATGTGTCAGTCTCATAGACAAAACTGGAAGTCTGTTCCACAAGAGAGGAGCCTGATAACTGAAAGCTCTGCCTCTCATTCTGCTTTTTAAGCACAATCATTGAAAGTTAAGCTAACTTAAAAAAAAAAAACCCAAAAAAACACTCTGGTTATGAGCTTTTACATTATTTTGTTTACCATCAATAAGTACATGGATTATTACTGTTAATGTGTCATTCTGTTTTTCTAAAAAAAAAAAAAAAAATCCCCAAATATACATACATAGTAGAGGCTGACAGTCTAAGCAGTGACACTTCAGCCTTTCCAGAGCATTTGTTGTCTTTAAATTAAAACCTAACAAATTGCAATACAAAGCACGGAGCAATTTTCTATTTTCAACATGGCAGCAATGAGCAAAAAGTCAATGGAGTAGTTCCAACATCAGCTGCCATATTGCAATAAACTTAGACCAGAACTGTGACAAAATAGTGACTGTGATATTTTGTCTATGCTATATAAAGTGTGGTTGTTCAAGAATGCTTGTTATATTGATTCATTGAATTTATTTGTTAAAGTAAATCAGACATATATTATGAAACACATATTTACAATTCACCAAGCACAACTATAGAACGCCTCCCTCTTACGTTAAGCAGTGTACAAGTCTTGTGCCTTAAGGGAAATAAATTAATGTCCATGACGAAAGACTGAATCTTAAGAGTTGTGTGTTCATCTGATTGTGACAATGTATTAGAAACATGCAAACAGCTGCTTTACTATATTTGAGTGCTCTCTGTGTGAACACAGTTACTGGCTGTGAACTAATGGGAAAATTTAACATGCCCAATTTGTCTAAAGAAGGTGACATTATGATTGGGGGGATTTTTCCAATTTTTAACAAAGAGGTCCCCAGCACTGCTACATTTGAGAGCAAACCTAATGACGTCAAGTGTGCACTGTAAGTTTGTTTATGTCTCTGACATGTTTTGGATGCTTTTCATTTTACTTTATGAATTTTATATTGATTGCACATCTATATTACAGCATTGCCGCTTTCTTAAAATGTCTGGTAAAACTGTAACTTCCCCAGGTTTGATCTACGAGCTTTTCGATGGACTCAAGTGATGATATTTGCAATTGAAGAAATCAACAAAGATACTAGACTCCTTCCTAACATATCCCTTGGCTACAGAATCCTCAACTCATGTTCATCTCCTACTAATACTTTACGAGCTGCATTAACACTTGCCAACCCACCAAAAGAAATAGAAAAAACTTTGGGTTGTCCTCCATCTTTATCTGCTGTAATCGGAGAAGCAGGATCATCTCAGTCCTTGGCTGTTGCTGGAACTCTGGGACCATTTCAAATGCCAATAGTAAGAGGAAAAAAAATGTTTCAGGCACTTTTTTGTTATACATCACTTCTGCAGATATTGTTTCATTATAATAACTTTGTTTGTTTCTAGGTAAGTTACTTCTCAACATGTGCTTGTCTTAGTAATAGAGCTAAGTATCCTACTTTTTTCCGGACAATCCCAAGTGACTACTTCCAGGCGAAAGCTTTGGCATCACTCGTCAAACATTTTGGCTGGGAATGGATTGGAACTGTTCACTCAGACAATGATTATGGAAGAAATGGCATTTTGGCTTTTACAGAGGAGGTTAAACAGTTTGGTGTTTGCATTGCCTTTGTCGGGACAGTTCTGCGTACATACCCTTTGGAAAAAATCGTAAAAGTTGTGGAGATGATTAAACAATCAACAGTCAAAGTCATTCTTGCTTTTACGCCTGAGGGGGATTTTTCTCCTTTAATGAAAGAGGTCTTAAAACAAAATATTACTGAAATACAATGGCTTGCTAGTGAGGCTTGGATAACTGCACCTCAGCCATCCACCTCTGAAATGTACCAGGCTTTTGGTGGAGCTCTGGGATTTGTGGTGCAGAAGATGGCTATTCCAAATCTGAATCCATTTCTCACTAATATTAGCCCATATACAGATCCAAGTGCAGCTTTTGTAAAGGATTTCTGGGAAATAATTGTTGGCTGTAAACCAGTTTCACCAGGTTTTGACACAAATACTGAAAAAACAAAGGCAACATGTACAGGCAATGAGACATTAATGAATTCTCAGGATGCATTTTTTAATGTCACAGAGCTCAGAGTGTCATATAATGTGTATAAAGCTGTTTATGCTATAGCACATGCCCTTCACCAGCTGGTATTCTGCAAACCAGTGGGAGAAAAAGCAATGAGGCCTTGTGTGAATATATCTGACATTCAACCCAAAGAGGTGAGAAATTGAAAAAAAATCAACAGTATTTCCAGTTGTCTGAAAAATGCCACAACCTTTGGACAGTTTAAACAGTGATATATGTAAAAAAATAATAATAATAAAACATTTTTCACAGGTCACTTATCACCTGAAAAGTGTCTACTTCATTAATCAGTTTGGGGATTATGTGTCTTTTGATGAGAATGGTGACCCTCCTGCTTCCTATGATATCATTAACTGGCAGCTGAAAAATGGGCAGGTGCAACATGTGACACTGGGTCATTTTGCATCTGCTGAAAATGGTGACTATAAACTCAGCATACAAGAGGACATGATAGTTTGGAGGAGTGGCATAACTGTAACTAGATTTTTTTACACATGCTATTTATTACAATATGTATCCCTATATATATATAAAAAAAATCATGAATGTATTAAACTGACATAGTGACAATCATTTTTCTTTAGGCCCCTACATCTGTGTGCTCTAATGTTTGTCCAAAAGGAAAGAGAAAGGCTCAAATCAAAGGAAAGCCCACATGCTGCTTTGACTGTATTCCTTGTGCAGATGGAACTATAGCCAACTCAACAGGTAGAGCAGCATAAATTTGACATGTGCATCATGCAGTGTTGGGAACATGTATAATTTATTTTAATGTATTGGGTGTTAAATGTACACTAAGTTTTAGACAAATGTTAATGGTCAAAATTGTAAATTTTTAAATACATTAATTTTATATGTAAACAATATAACTTTTTTTTTTTTTCAACAGGTGCAGCAGACTGCACACCATGTTCACTTGAATACTGGTCCAATGAGAGAAAAGATGAATGTATTCGTAAGGAAACTGAGTTTTTGACATACCATGAGCCAATGGGAATAGTTCTCACTGCTTTATCACTATTTGGGGCCTCCCTGTCTCTAGCCACATTGGCTATTTTTATCCACTGGAGAGAAACTCCTGTAATCAAGGCCAGCAACTCTGAACTGAGCTGCTTCCTGTTGTTTTCTCTTTTCCTTTGCTTTCTCTGCCCTCTCACTTTTATTGGCAGACCAACAGTCTGGACATGCATGCTGCGCCACACAGCATTTGGTGTGACATTTGCACTTTGCATTTCCTGTGTCTTGGGAAAAACGATTGTTGTTGTAACTGCTTTCAAAGCCACACATCCAAGCAGCACAATTGCAGGAAAGTTTGGTCCTGCACAGCAAAGAATCATTGTATGCTCCTGTACTTTGATTCAAATAGTAATATGTATATTGTGGCTGAAGTTCAACCCTCCTTTCCCAGATAAGGTTTTCAGATATGGCAACAAGAAGATAGTTCTTGAATGTAACACAGGCTCTGAGGCTGCCTTTTACGCAGTGCTGGGATACATCGGGCTCCTCGCTGTAATATGTTTGGTCCTCGCATTTCTAGTAAGAAAGTTGCCAGATAACTTCAATGAAGCCAAATTGATCACATTCAGCATGTTGATATTCTGTGCTGTGTGGGTCACTTTTGTCCCAGCTTATGTTAGCTCTCCTGGAAAGTTCACTGTTGCTGTGGAGATATTTGCAATTTTGTCTTCAGCGTTTGGCCTATTAATTTGCATATTTGCTCCTAAATGTTACATAATATTGATAATGCCAGAGCAAAACACCAGGAGGCATGTCATGGGAAAAATTTAGTCCAATAAAACATGATTACTGTATGTCAATTATGACCTCATGGTTTAGGACACACAAGTAAGTTAGTATATTGTTAAAAATATCTTTAAAACTGTTAATGATGTTTAACTTGTGATCTGACAATGCACGTTTAATGCGCGAACACAGTAAATGTACACACAAAGTTTAATTCTGTTGGATAGCATCCATGACCGTCTAAAACAAATATTTTTAATTGATGCCCATTGTACAAACCGATAAAACATAATTTCATTATTTTCTTTTTTCCTTGCTTGTTTTCCTGCATTATAAAAGTTTTTTGGGCAGTACAGTGGCTCAGTTGGCAACAACTGGTCAAATGCTTCCTATCATTTTTATGCAGATAACACTAATATTTATTGCTGCTCATCCTCACTTCTTCAGGCTACATGACACTTTTAATGTTATTCAGTCTCATCTTCTAAAACAAAATGGTTTAAACGCTGATAAAATCAAGCTCATGGCATTTTCTCACAAAACAGAGCTATCAGGTTGCATCACATCAATTGTAACCACACAGGGAAAACCTATAGAGCTGGTCTCAGATTACAAATACTTGGGATATTTTCTTGATTTGAAGCTATCATTTAAAGCTGGCATTGCTAATGTGGCTACTAAACTCAAACTGAAGCTGGATTTTTATTTTAGAAATAAATCATGTTTTTCAATTAGAGTAATAAACAGATTATTAGCTGCTAATGTCATGCCGTTACTGGATTATGATGATGTAAATGAGTGTACATGTATGGTGGTGTACATGAATATCCCATCCAAATATCTGCAGTCCTTAGAAACTGTTTACCATAGTCCAACAATGTTCAGCAGGTCATCTGGACGTTTTTTTTTTTTTTCTGAGACGTTCTGTCCTTCATCCAAAGGACCTCTTCAGTCCAAGGAGCCACAAACAAACTGGAGTCCAACAAATACCACACTCCCATAGTGGGAAAAAAAAAGTTTGCTGGTGATAAGATGATTTCTGAGGCCCACCCTCTCCCCCATCAACTCATCTGAGACATCCATCCATCCATCCATTTTCTTTACCCGCTTATTTCATTTTGGGTCACGGGGGTCGCTGGTGCCCATGTCCAGCAATCACTGTGCGAGGGGCGGGGTACACCCTGGACGGGTCGCAAGTCCATCACAGGGCCACATAGAGACAAACGAGACAAACAAACATTCACTCTCTCACTCACACCTAGGGACAATTCAGAGTTACCAATCAGCCTAGCATACATGTTTTTGGACTGTGGCAGGAAACCGGAGTACCCGGAGAAAACCCACGCATGCACGGAGAGAACATGCAAACTCCACCCAGAAATCCCCTGGACCGGGGTTTGAACCAAGGACCTGCTCGCTGAGAGGCAGCAGCCCTACCAGTTGTGCCACCGTGCTGCCTCATCTGAGACAGTCATACCAAAATGGTTCTAAACACCAAAAGTTATGCTCAGTCCAGGTACAAATCCAACAATGTTCAGTCAGGTCATCTGGATGGTTTATTATTTTTTTTCTGAGATGTTTCATTCTTCATCAAAAGGACTTCTTGAGTCCGAGGAGCCTCAAATTAACTGGAGTGCCACAAATACTACACTCCCATAGTTGAAAAAACAAAACAAACAAACAACAACAAAAAAAAAAAACTCTTTGCTGGTGATAAGATGGCTGGGCAAGCCCCAGAAACCATCTTACCACCAGCAAACTGTTTTTTTTTTTTTTTTCAGAGTAGTCCCTCGATATTTTGCGATTCGATTTTTGTGAACTCACTCTTTCATGGGTTTTCAACGTAAAACTGTACACAAGACGGGATTGGCTGATTGATGGAAGTCGACCAACCAGAGCAAACTGGCAATCGGAAGTACCAGGACATTTATTGGTGGCCTGGCCCGCTTATTGATCACCGCAGTGCTACCTCATTTTTCTATCTGAGGCTGTCTGTCACAGCAGAGCAGAGACACACAACAGGTGTGCACATAACCTGTTGTGTGTCTGCTTTATATATTTTCATCTTCTTTCAGCTTTTCCCTCTTCAGGGGTCACCACAGCAAGTCATCCTCTTCCATCTCACTCTGTCCTCTGCATCATCTACTACCTCCAATATCCTCTCTAACTGCATCCATATATCTCATCTTTGTCTTTTTCCTGGCAGCTGCATTTCTAACATCCTTCTACCAGTATACCCACTGTCCCTCCTCTTGACATGTCCAAACCATCTCTATATGGCCTTTCTAACTTTATCTCCCAGTTGTTCAACATGTGCTGTACCTCTGATGATCTCATTCCTAATCTTTTCCATCCTTGCCACTCCTAAGGAGAACCTCAACATCTTCATTTCTGCTCTTCCAGTTCTTTTTCCTGTCTTTTTGTCAGTGCCACTGTCTCCAGACCATACAATATAGCTGGTCTCACTACTGTCTTGCAAACGTTTCCTTTGACATTTGCTGACACATTTTTTGTCACAAATCACCCCTGAAACTTTTCGCCATCCATTCCATCCTGCTTAGACCCTCTTTTTCACTTCATTGCCACATTCCCCATTTTCCTGGACAGTGGATCCCAAGTACTTGAAGTCCTACACCATTGTGACCTCTGCTCCTTGTAGCCTCACTGTTCCACCGGCCTCCCTCTCATTCACACACATGTAGCACAGCTGACTTTGATTTCTCGTCTTTCAAGTGCATACCTCCACCTCTCCAAGTTCTTTTCCACTTGTTCCCTGTTCTCACCACATAGCTCAATGTCATCTGCAAACATCATAGTCCACAGGGATTCCTTCCTGACCTCATCTGTTAGTCGGTCCATCACCAGAGCAAACAAGAAGGGACTCAGAGTCAATCCTTGATGCAACCCCACCTCCACCTGTCACTCCTACAGCACATCTCACCACTGTCCCGCTGTCCTCATCCATGCCCTGTACCAGTCAAATATACTTCTCTGCCACTCCAGATTTCCTCATGCAATACCACACCTCCTCCCTTGGCACCCTGTCATATGCTTTTTCTAAATCCACAAAGACACAATGGAGTTCTTTCTGACCCTCTCTGGACTTCTCCATCAGCATTCTCAAAGCAAAGATGGCAACTGTGGTGCACTTTCTTGGCAAAAAACCTTACTGCTGCTCACAGTCACCTCTCGTCTAAGACTTGCTTAAATGGGCACCAGCACACTTCTTCTACATTCCTTAGGCATTTTCTCACCCTCAAATATGCCATTAAATATTTGAGTCAAAACCTCACTGATATATATATGTGTGTGTGTGTGGGGGGGGGGGGGGGGTAACTGACCGTATTTCTTCACTCTGATGTTGTCTTTACATATGCTCCTCTAGCTGTTTTGTATTTCTTTTCTTGACGTGTTTTTCTGTCTAGGTTCCAATAGGGGGTACACCTGCACCCACATCTGGACCTGCCATTGTGTTCGTTTGTTTCTCCGTCCTGTCCTCTCAAACCCAAACGGTCATAGCAGATGACTGCTTGTCCTGAGCATGGTTCTGCTGAAGGTTTCTTCCTGTTAAAAGGGAGTTTTTCCTTTCCACTGCCGCCTTTGTGTTTGCTCAGAATGGGAGACTGCAACAAAGTGAAGATTCAACAAGTCTGCTGGATTCCTTTGAAAGTGTTTACTAATTTTATTTTGTATGTATGTGGAAGTTTTTGTACAGTGTCCGGAGATAATATCTGTTGTGATTTGGTACTATATAAATAAACTGAATTGAAATGAACAGATACTTTGGACACTTAAACTATGTGATGGGTCAGTGTTTTGGTAAATGTAATGACTTTGTGGATGAATTCTCCATATCTAAATTTGCACATCAGTGACATTTATTGTTTTGCTAGTTCAGTTTCTTTTCCCTATTGTGCAGATCATTGTAGTTTGAGACTGATTTGCCTCGAGGGATATGTCTGTTTCAGACTGAAATGTTATTATAAGAGCTCCTCACTAAATTCTATTTGGCAAGGCATCACAGACATGCAAAAATATAATCGTCTTTTTCTATGCGTTTTTTACATTAGGACTGTTTTTGGTTGTGAGCTGTTAGGCAAATTTAACATGCCAAGTGTATTTAAACAAGGTGATATAATGATTGGGGGGATTTTTCCAGTTTTTAACAAAGAGTTAGGCATCACTTCTACATTTGAAAGCGAGCCTCCTGGAGTGGTCTGTGCAGGGTATAATGTTTTTTTGTGGATTTTTATACTTATGCATGTTTGATCAAATATATATATAGCATATGTTTTTAAATTTAGTAATCTGTATTTTTCTTTAATTTCTGATTCATTTTAGATTTGATCTGCGAGCTTTTCGGTGGACCCAAGTGATGATATTTGCAATTGAAGAAATCAACAGTGATCCTACTCTCCTTACAAACATATCTCTTGGTTATAAGATTCTTGACTCTTGTGCATCTCCTACTAATACGTTGCGTGCTGCACTAACCCTGGCTAGTCAGCCAAATGAGATCAAATCAGCGTCTTTTAGTCTTCCAGCCTTATCTGCTCTTGTAGCAGAGTCAGGATCATCTCAGTCCCTTGCTATTGCTGCAACTCTCGGACCATTTAAAATACCAATAGTAGGATATTTTATGAAAATGATTTTTACAAATGAAAATATGTAATATTTTATTGCAGTTTTTAAAAACATCTGTTTTATTGATTCTTCATAGGTAAGTTATTTCTCAACATGTGCCTGCCTCAGTAATAAAGCAAAGTATCCAACCTTTTTTCGAACAATCCCAAGTGACTATTTCCAGGCAAAAGCTCTAGCAGCGCTCATCAAACATTTTGGCTGGGAGTGGATTGGAGTCATACAGTCTGATAATGATTATGGACAAAATGGCATCATGGCTTTCACAGAGGAGGTTAAAAAGTTTGGAGTTTGTATTGCTTTTGTTGGGACCGTTTTGCGTACATACACTTTAGAAAAAATTCTGAAAGTTGTGGAAATGATCAAACAATCAACAGTCAAGGTCATTCTTGCTTTTACGCCTG